GACCCTCCACTAGTCAAGAGTACGGTGGGTAACAGTGGATACCCAATGGCGGTCATATTATAGGCCTCTTCCTTAAACACCCCATATAGACTAGCTTCGTGAATGAGTCCTACTAACGGTAAGATTGACTTGTGTTATACATATAGATATATATATATATATCTATATCTATATATTATATATATATATATATATATAAGTATTAAATTTTTAATAATAATAGTATAGGGTTGAATTTTTAAATTTTAAAATTCTAGGGTTTAGAATTAAAGTTTCATAAATGAGACTTTTCAAATTCCAAAACATGAGGGCTAGTTTTGAAACTCTTCAAAACCTCTTGAGTTTTAGAATTTATGTTACATAAATGAGACTTTCCAAGTTCCATAACTTGAGGACAAGTTATGAAACTCTTCAAGACCTTTGGAATTCTATAACTTAAAAAGTTAATGTTTCATGAATGTAACTTTTACTATCCATAACTTGAGGACAGTTATGAAAACTCTTCAAGAAACATTTAGATCAAATTTAACTAATACAATTTTCATATAATTTAGCATTTACCAATATGACCTAATACTAGTCATATAGCAAGATAATTTCAAATTCTACAAATAATTAGTTTTTCACAAAATCAAGTAATTATCTTAAAATTTGACAAACATCATGTTATTGGATGGGGATAATCATTACCATATTAGTAAAATGAAATTTTATGAACCAAAACAATTTGTGGTAATGATCTTACTCCAAAACAGGCCAAAATCTCAAAAATTCTGCCATCAGATTATCCAGCTCGTCGAGCCAGTCAATGGACTCATCGATTTCATCATCATATGATCCAAATCTTCGAGTTCCATTATGGACTCGTCGAGTTGGGCCTGGCAGAATCCAAAATTGCAGTTTTTTTAGCTTTGAAAATTACATAATTGTCAATCTAATAGAAAACACCATGGCTCTGATACCACTGTTGGGTTTATGTACTCTAACAGCCCTATGGTGCACATACACCCTAATGCTTTGGATCTAATTTTTCTCTAATTATACATGCAATATTCATTTTCCAAAGCATGAAGCCTAACTAGCATGCAAAGGTGATATTTGAATCATAAAACTAGTTAGAATATTACCTTTTGATGTAGCTTGTAGAACTTGGCCTTAAAAGAGCTTAGCACCCCAAGTGTGACGCCTCAAACAAGTCACAAACACCAATAAACAATTAGAGGAAAATGAGAGAAGTTTAGGAGACACAAAATCGGCTAGCCCTTCTTGGAATGCATGCCATCACCGATTTTAGAGCTTATGGTACACATTTATAGTGTAGAATTCCAAGAGTCATTTGCAACCCTAATTCTTACACTTAAGCTTATGATCCAACAATTTGATTTGGACTAACACTTCATGGACTAACTTATAAGCTTAGTCCATCACAAATCAATCATGGATCATTAGCCCAAACCATATGTATCACTAATTTACATAATCAGTCCCCGTTAATTTAATTAGTCTCTTTTGATCACTAAATTAATTCCAAATTAATTCATAATATGATTTCTCAATTAATATATTATTCTTATAATATATTAATAAATCACAAATAACCTCTTTCTCAAATATTCAACCTATCAAATTGTTCTGGTGAAGGCAACCCGAAATGGACCATGCTACTATCAGGTCAAGTACATACCAATTATAGTTATGGGCTTGGACACCAATCCACAAACATACCATTCGTCAAATAGTGAAATTAGTTCGGTCTTGATGGTTCCAACTGGAATCATCTATCTTACAAATGCTGCTATCGATGTCTCTATCTAATCGTGTATGTCATTCTTGCTCAAGCTTGGCCCTTCTAATCCAGAACTAGAACCGCTTGCTCTAGTAATCATCACCATGTTGGAGATATAAATGGGACTAGATCAATACAAAATTTATTGTGTTATCTTGGAATAATATTCAATCCTTTCCAGTTCCTTAGTAACTTTGCGACTTTTCTTGATTCCTATATGGATCAAGTGCTTCCAGTAGTACGGGACCATACTACCTTCCACACCCATCCATACTAGATTCAAGAATTGCCCAGATGTTTCTAAGTCACTACACTCCCCTATCGTTAGGTCTTTTTGCACACACACTGCTATAAGGACCTAATTACTATTTTCCTACACTTTTCTCCTAGGATTCCTTTCGCTTCATTCTGCTATCAGCTGAGGAAGAACTTCTACCGACTCTAACTAGTTATCGGACAAAATACGATTGCATTCTGTTAAAATCAAACAGCCTGTCGACCGTGAGATCCGACACTATAACGGTTGGACTCAAACAAGTGTTGCACAATAGCGCCGAATCAGGCAATCTAAAACTATTTAATTATGGGAGCATGCAACCTAACGTATTTGTCAAATAACTAATCAACATCAATATAGGTTCTAAGTAGCAAATAACAAGCAAATTCCTAGGCTATAAGGCATCTTAAGGATCATGCGATTCTAATCTATTATTCCTGAAATGATCCCTAGCCTATATACTAGCATGCATATTTTACATAACATATATCAACAAATATAACAATATGGATATTCTGGAAATCACTTTCCTTTTTAAGCTCCGCATGACTGTACGCACCACATTTTCTTCCCTTTTGCATAATTTATTTTTATAAAAAGGTTTATTTGATACCCAAATCCTTAGTTTGAGTCTGGAATCACACGAGCGATCATCCAATTATCTCAAACCAGGGCACTGATACCAACTTGTAACGTCCAGATTTTCAAGGCAAAATTTTCATTTTTATTTCATTAATACACAAGTCTCACAAACCGTTATATTACATTTATTTATAAATGAGAGTTCTAGCGGAAGTCTTAAAGTATTATTTATTGCCTTCGATGCAAGTACAGTCACGCGGGAGCCTTTTCTCGATCTGAGGAACAACCTGAAAAACAGTTATTCAACAACTGTAAGTCGAGACATAGTGAATTCCCTCAAGATACCATAAACCACAATACATATATAATGCATACACATAATGGCCTTCATCATGAATCTGGTCCGCCTCTTTTTGCCTTCAGCTTAAAGCTGATCCGCACATTGGGCTTCAGCGTAACGCCGGTCCGCCCTCAACTCCCATATATATATATATATATATATATATATATATATATATATTATATATATATATATATATATATATATATATATATATATATATATATTATATATATATATCAATACTCATCTAACAAGCAAACAATTCAACACGATGGCCAACTAACTAAGCTAGTCTAGTGGCCAGACTTCATACTATAGGGTAACTATATCCTAGCATACAAGGAATACATACTAGAGTTTACAATATAGTGAGGAGAACTCACCTTGACAATTTCTCATATGGTTAACAGCTATCATGGAAATCTGATTGGCGAGTACATGCCTAACATGTATTAACCTATAGTACTTGAGCTTATCACTCTCTAGGTAAATTTGTTAATGTAGGCTATACCTATCACTAATCCCAATGAATAGTGATAGTTTTATCAAATAAGGCTCGTTCTAGTAGGACAGTTGGGACGCAGGACCATTTCGGCATATAGCCTTTCTGAAATCCAACAACCAAGACAACATGACCCTTCTAGACACTTCTCACGTAAGTAGATCAATCAATATTATAACTTGGAATTGCTGACGAATCTAGCATTTATAGGTTCCTAATAATGATTATAATTATCAAAATAAGCTATCCTAAAAGCTTAGTAAGTGTAGCTGCACTTACAGAGGTTTCTAGCGAAAACCAGGATTTATACTGGCAGGAATTCGATACCAAGCACTTCTATTAGCCGAGCCTTGATGCCCATGACTTCGCTAAATTAAAATACTTCAAAATCCCGAAGAAAAAACCTCTAAAACCGAGCCTAATAGTCGTGAGAGAGTTTAGAAGGGCGTGGAGAGGATTGTGGACAGCAAGGAGTATTTATAAGCATCAAAACTCGAAGGCGCACCACGCCCAGACCAGAGGCACGTTGCGCTCTGTCCTGGTCGGCCCTTCCTGCTGCTGACATGTTTCCAGTGATTTATGGCGCGGCGTGGCAGATTTTATAAGGTACACATCGCGTCTTATTTGTGCGAGGTGCACTCGAGAAACTTCAAAAATTTGTAACTTCTTCATACGAACTCCATTTTTGACGTTCTTTATGTTAGACTAGGCGAATACTCACGCGTTCCGCAGAATACAACAAATATATATATATTTTAATGACGTTGTTGTTAGCTCTTATATAATAAATCTTATAATAAGTTGATATAAACATTGTTTGTTTTGAATTATATGATAATGTAGACATCTGTTAAAATTCTATAATCTCAATTGTTTCAATGGTTTCTAACTGCAGGTTACTAATGAATAAAATTAAATACAATATATGGTTTAATGATATTTATACTTGTTATTATGATTAATTGATTTTCAAAAGTTTAATTTTTTAATATTTTAATTTCTATCATTGTAATTATTTAAAACATCAAACATTGTTTTTGTTTCTAAAGGCAACAATATGATTTTTGTATATAATATTGGGAAAATGAAACTGTAGCACATTACAATTTCGTCATTTGTCCGATTTGGTCACTAAAGTAATTTTCTTATGAATTAGACCACTAAACTCGTATTTGACCTGTCAATTAAGCCATTTTTTGTCAAAGTTAACCGATTACCAGGTCACAAAACTGATGTGGCATTTAATAATTAATTTGTATTTATTATTTGTTTGCCACGTCATAAATCCACCGGTCTCCATCAATCCTTCTTGTTTACCCCATCTCCATCTCTCTTTTGCTTTCCCTGACTTCAAAATCTCATTTCCCATGATCTCTTCTCCGATTGCTCTGTGAACGAGTTCTCCGATAGCCTAAGCTCGAACAGTTTCTTAGTTTCTTACACTCGCCAAGTGTTCAAGGAATGTCCCCAGAGAGATTTTTTCTTTGAAGCTTCAGGACATTCAAACCAGTTAGATTCCCAATCTCTTCTGGCATCCCACCGGAAAGCCTGTTCTGGCCAACCTCGCTAATTCCGAAGGAATAAAACTGGAGAAACTGTTATTAGTCAAATCGAACAACAACAACAAACTAGATCCCACAAGAGGCGAAATCAGAAAAGAAAAAGTAGGAGAGGGAGAGTCGTCTCCACTCGGTCGAGGAGAAAGTGCCCCGGTAGGCGACGACGATGGAGCAGTCTTCTTCGTCTTCTTCTTGCTCGGAGCCGGAGCAGAAGCTTCAGGTGTGGAAGCAATCTCTGGTACAGGAGAGGTCACTGGTTCAGGAACCGGTCGAGATTCAATCATTGGAGGAGAACTCACTAGCACCACAGCAGGAGGAGAACTCACTGGCACCGCAGTAGGTGGTGAACTAACTGGAGTAGGAACAGAAAGCATCGGAGGAGTAGAAACTGGAGACTTCGCCGACAGTGCTATGGTTGGTGAAGCAGCAAGCGTTGTGACAATTGAAGGAGGCGCGATCGTCGGGGAAACAGCTGGGGCTTGACCTCCGACGACGGCAATAATGGCGCAGATGAATGCTAGAACAACGACGTTCTTCATTTCCATGTTTGTTTCTAAAGATAGAGAAAGAGAGAGTGTGTGCATTTTAGAGAGAGAGTGAGGGAAGGGATGAAAGAATTTTAAATGCTTGAAATTCCCGATTTGTGAAGGAATGCTTCCATTAAATGACGTGGCCAACAAATAATAAAAACATATTAATTACTAAATGTCACATCAGTTTTGTGACCTGGTAACCGGTTAATTTTGACAAAAATAGCTTAATTGATAGGTCAAATATGAGTTTAGTGGTCTAATGCGCAAGAAAATTACTTTAGTGACCAAATCGGACAAATGACAAAACTTTAATGTGCTACAGTGTCATTTTCCCATATAATATTACTTTTAATTATTGATGTTGTAATTTATTTAATATAAATTATTTGGAAACTCTTAATTATTTTAATTTAGTTTTAGAAATTTACCTTTTTTAAAATTTATTTGATGAATATTATTAGTTTATTTTAATGTAATTATTTAAAACAACAAACATTGTTTTTGTTTTTAAAGATAACATTATAATTTTTTTAAATAATTTTACTTTTAACTATTCTTATTGTAAGTTATTTTTAAGCGACTTATTTGAAAATTCTTAATGATTATCAAAAAAAAGTTTCATGGCTTTTTTTTTTTTTTTTTTTTTTTTTTAAATTTAGGATTATATTTTAGGTTTAACACTATAATTTACCAGTTTTAACTATTTATAAAATAGTCTTTCGATTTTTTTCAAGTTTAACTGAAATTTTGATTTAAGTTAACCATTTTAACATTATATTAAAATTAATAATTTAACTGATTTGCATAAAATCATAAATTATACAAAAGTTGTGACTTTAAAATGACAATTGCTCACATAAGACAATATATTTAAACTAATAAGTTAACTATAATATGTTAAAAAATTAAAGTCATAATTTTATATATAGAAGTAAAATATGATATTTTAATATTATAGTTTACTTAATTTATGATTAGAATTTAGTTTCTACATTATGTTAACATTATTAACCAATTTATAATAATTATTAGAAAGAAATTGAAAAGTTATAGAGGTTTCAAATGAATGTGGTGCAAGTAAAAATGTCTCATTTATAAGTATATAGGCGAATACACACACGTTGCGCAGAATACAACAATATATTTGAAATAGTTACAAATATATGTTTTTTAAATATATCAATGATGTTGTTAGATCTTATATAATATATCATATAATAAGTTGGTATAAACATTGTTTATTTTGAATTTTATGATAATGTTGACATCTTTTAAAATTCTATAATAGCAATTATCTCAATGACTTCTACCTACGGGGTACTTATAAATAAAATTAAATATAATATATGGTTTAATGATATTTATAGTTGTTGTTATGATTAATTAAGTTTAAAAATTTTATTTGTTTAAGATTCTAATTTCTATCATTTTAATTATTTAAAACATCATACATTGTTTTTGTTTTTAAATGTAACAATATAATTTTTGTATATAATGTTAATTTTAACTATTATTGTTGTAAGTTATTTAAAATAACGTATTTGGAAACTCTTAATTATTTTAATTTGGTTTTAGAAATTTAAATTTTTAAAAATGTATTTGATGAATATTCTTAGTTTCTTTGATTGAAATTATTTAAAACAACAAACATTATTTAAAACAACAAAAATGTATTTGATGAATATTTTTGTATATAATATTACTTTTAACTATTCTTATTGTAAGTTATTTTAGGATACTTATTTTAAAACTCTTAATGATTATAAAAAAATATTTTCATGTCTTTTTTGTTAATTTAGGATTACAATTTAGATTTAACACTATAATTTATAAGTTTTAACTATTTATAAAATAGTCTCTTGCTTTTTTTTAAGCTTAACTGAAATTTTAATTTAAGTTAACTATTTAACATTATATTGAAATTAATAATTTAACCATTTTGCAAAAATCATAAACTATACAAAAGTTGTGACTTTCAAATGATAATTGTTCACATACTACAACATATCTAAACTAATAAGTTAACTATAATATGCTATAAAGTTAAAGCCATAATTTTATAAATAGAAGTAAAATATGATATTTTAATATTCTAATTTAGTTAATTTATTATTAGAATTTAATTTTTTCATCAGTTTAACATTATTAACCAACTTATAATAATTATTAGAAAAAAATTGAAAAGTCATGGAGCTTTTAAATGCATATGGCGCAAGTAAAAATGTCTTTTTTATAAGTATATATAGATATAGATAGATATGATAATTTATACTTATAAATAATGTAAAATGATTATTTTTTTAAAGTAGGTACGAGCAAAATCAATTTTTCCGTCATGACATGCTCTAAATTCACCATCCATAGTTCCATTCGTAGCTACAAAATTTCAGTTATATAAAGTGTATGACGTGTGATTAATTACTTTGAAGGTGAAAATGTGTGGGGGTTTCAAATGCATGAGGTGTTTGGAACTTTGTGTGGGGGTTTCAAATGGATGAGATGATTGGAAAAATGTCTCCTTTATAAGTATATATAGATAGATAGATATGATAATTTATACTTATAAATAATGTAAAATGATTATTTTTTTAATGTACGTAGGAGCAAAATCAATTTTCCGTCATGATATGCTCTAAATTCACCATCCATAGTTCCATTTGTAGCTACAAAATTTCAATTATATAAAGTGTATGACGTGTGATTAATTACTTTGAAGGTGAAAAGGTGTAGGGGTTTCAAATGCATAAGGTGTTTGGAAATTTGTGTGGGGGTTTTAAATGGATGAGATGATTGGAAAAATGCATTCTTTATAAGTATATATAGATAGATAGATATAGACTAGGAGTCTAAGCCAATAACTAAATTGGTATATACTTGAATCATATAATAAATCAATAAATTAGTCTCTCTTTCTAAAAGTCATCCTAAAATTACCAGGTTTGAGGGGAAGCCAAAATGACTTTGTTAATAATATATTAACTAGAAATAATATTATTTAATTAAGAATTAATAAGAATTAATTTTGGGATTAGTTGGATTACTTAATAGTGCAAGGACCTAAGCTGTAATTGTTTAATAGTTGAACAAGAGAGGGATTCTAGAATAGTCCTAGGATGGCCGAAAATTATCGGCTTCCTTAGGGTTCTAGAATATCCCTTGGAGATAATTAGGAAACCAGATAATTACCTGATTTAAGATTTTATTATTATTTTAATCAAGTAATGGTTATTTAGGGTTTTCCTATCAACTATAAATAAGGACCATCAGCCTCTAAATTTCGGCCATCACTCATATAACTAAGAGCATAGCTGAAATTTCTCTCTCCTCTTTTCTCTCCTCTTTTCTCTTCAACTTTCCTAGTTGCTAGGGTTTCGGTGTGAACCATCAGAGGCACGAGATTTATGGTGCTAGGTTCCAAGAGTTTTTCAAGAAGGATTGGTTTATTGTTTACTACAACAATCAAAAGGCATGTAATCTTCTTCTATTAATTTTGAAATTAGGTAGGGTTATAGGGTTCTTGTTGTTCAATAGAATGTTACTTCAATAGTTTCATTACTAGATCTAATAGGTTGCATATACCCTTAACTGTATAAGGATTTATCCACATTATTGAATGTAAAACCCATTTGTGGTATCAGAGCGTATGGTTGTCTAACAATTAATAATACATCGCTTGAACTTGAACAAAACCCGACTTGGAGAATTGGCAGAATTGTCATTCTCTCACAACACCACGGCGTGGTCCTCTTTTGCCACGATGTGGAGATCTTCGGATCTGCGTTTTTTCTTCGTTCTGCCATGATGTGGCAGTCCTATGCCACGACGTGGTGAACCCGATGATCCGTAAAATTGTTTTTTTTTGCTTAATTCAAAATTGATCAGGATAATTACTTTAGATAATGTTTTATATTTGTGTAAAATTGAATATTTATCTTTCTAATCAGATATCCTATATCTTGAATTTGTGAATTATCCTTAAGATTTAATTAATTTAATTAATTGTTTAATTCAAGGATAAAGATTAAATCAAAATTGGTTTATTTTTAAATTAAATTATTTTTTTATTAATTTCGAAAATTTAAATTTAAATCTGTTAGGATATTAATCCTTGAAAGATCGATTAGATTCAAAACAGATAGCAAGTAAAATGTCACATAATAGGTTTCTTCGATTCGCTTAGAACGTTTGTTAAGAACCCTATATGCCTTAGAGGCCAGCAAATATCCCAAGAAGATACCTTCGTCAGCTTTCACATCGAATTTGTTCCTCTGTTCTTTAGAATTAAAGATGAAGCACCTGGAACCAAAAACATGGAAAAACTTCACATTAGGTTTTCGTTTGTTTAATATTTCATAGGGAGTGGCAGAGAATCGTTTATTGAGAAAGGAACGGTTTTGGGTATAACAGACAGTTCCTATTGCATCTGTCCAGAAGTAGAGTGGCAGATTCGCAAATGAGAGCATGGTTCTCGCAGCCTCGCACAGTGATCGGTTTCGTCTTTCAACGACTCTGTTATGTTGTGGAGTGTAAGGAGATGAAAAGTTATGTGAAACTCCTTTCGCGGTCAGAAATTCTTCAAACACCTGGTTTTTGAATTCCAACCCATTGTCACTGCGAATATTGCGAACCAGCTTTCGCAGTTGTAGTTCAATCTGCTTTACGAAGTCTTGGAGCTTTGGAGTGGCTTCAGATTTCTGCTTAAGAAAATAAACCCAAGTGAAACGAGAAAAATCATCCACAATGATGAGAATATATTTATTACCACCAATACTTTCGATCGCAGATGGACCACAAATATCGATGTGCAATAGTTTGAGTCGCTCAATAACTTTCGTATTCACCACCGATGGATGACTTTTCCTGCTTTGCTTCCCCATTTCGCATGCAGCACAAAGATGATCCTTGTCATACTTTAGGAGAGCAAGCCCTCGCACATGATCACCAAGAACGAGCTTGTTGATATCTTTGAAGTTAAGATGCGAGACTCTTTTATGCCACAACCAGCTATCTTC